CCTCTGTATTCAATTTGCTAAACATGCTAAAAGGAGCACCACTTGCTCATGGACAAAATTGGGTTTTCTAACCAACATTTTCAGGTATTGGAGAAAATTTTCAAATGGAAATGCAGAAAATGCATCAAGTGGGCCATGACGTCTTACATCCTCAGCGAGATGCACTAAGCCATGGACGTTGTAAACTACCTGATCTGTACCATACAGAAATGGTGAACAAAAGAGACAAGACGTTCTTGTGCGTAATCTGCGTACACATTGCAAAATATAGGATTCACAAGAATACCGATTGCAGTTGACAGAAGCATGAAGTTTTTGTACATCTCATTTTGTATCTTGCCCCTCAATACTAAAGGTCAAGTATAAAGCAAGAAAAGCCGAAACTCGGTTGCTTTCCATCTATCAACTTCAGAAAGTGCCGTTGGTTTTCGTGCAAACTCATGTGGCATGTAACAAGTAAGGGACATCAAGGCCTCTGATATTAAGGTTTTCGTTTGGGAGCCTAGACGACAGTGAAGGGGTCCTTTTCTCCAAATCCAAAGCAAGCGTTTCATGACACCAAGACATACCATATGCATGTAGTCAAGTGTGAATTGCGTCACCATGCCAATAGACAACTGCCTTATAGGATTTGGGCCTGTATGATGATCTTCATCTACCATCTCATGAAAGGATACATCTGTTCTTAAGGGTGCATCAGTTTCTAAGAACACCATTTTCCCTTGATAGGTACCACTCTGTGTACACTTTTCACATCCTGAATAACCAGAATGAGATTTAACCCTTTTAATGAAAGCTCGAGCCGGTGCATCACAAACAAATGATGCTATGTTCACTTTATATATCTTTCCATTGTACACCAAACCATCAGATTGCAACCCCACCATTTCACTGACAAAGTCACTCAGAAATGTTTCAGGGTTAGATGGCTTATGATTTCCTGAAAACAAGCCAATGATGAATGGATCCGATTGACCCTTGTCTTGAATCAGGCCTAAAATTGGCCAAAACTTATCATTTGTACTCTTAAACAAGGGAAGACCATCAACATTTATTTGTATTAGAATGGTATCTAACTTTTGTATGTGAGTATCCGATAGCAACTTCAAAAGAACGTTGGATTTCACACCAAAATGATAGTGGGGCCCCACCTGCAATATTCTTAATACCATCTACCTTTCCTGTTTGTAACAAGGTTCTGGGGTCTTTTGGAAGCAATGGGTGAAATTGCTTAAGCGCGGACAGTAAATGTCCGAGAGCCGTATGAGAAATGTTGTATTTCACTGCCTGGTGTGAAAGAATTTCAAACAACTGCCCATCAACATCATCATCACAATCAAGCTCATCTTCACAACCGCCTTCACAATCAGTATCATCATCACTACCATTTGCATGTTGATCATTTCCAGACTGGTAGGTGAAAGAAAATCCAGCACCATCTGTGTTTATAACACTACTACTACAATTTAAATCTGTGTAGTTAGTTGAATAATAGTCTGTACATGTACCAAGTGGAGAATATGTTCTTAGTTGTATATAAGGTGAAATATGTTCCCTTGTGTCTGTTTCTGTCTGTAAAAAACCCTTGTTGAATAATCCGTATGTTTTCTCTTAGCTTAGATTCTATATTCCTTCGTTTTGTCCAGTACGACATTACTGTAGTTAGATTGTGGTAATGGAACTGCACGCAGATTTTGAATGTGGAAGGAAAAACAGTTTTGTTTGGAGCAAAACTGAATGGACCCAAAGTGGTAATAGACCTTTTCCAGTACACCTTTATATTAGGCTTAAAGTTACATATGATTTATATGTTGTTTTCAAAGAATACCTACAAATTTGGCCAAATGTTTTCCTGACACCTCAACCCCTCACCTCCAGCAGACGACAAAATGGCGGGCACATTTTTAACCCACAATGCAATTCAATTTACCCACAATGCACCATTTACGTTCTGGCCCTGTAGTGGCCCTGTAATGGCCCCGTACCGTATTTCATTACTGTGCCAGTACCGGACCAATAACTTTGTCCTATACTGTATGCAGCATACTGGCCCAGTAACGTAAGACAATGCCTTTAAACAATGTGATGTTGCGACTGGGCCAGTATTAAAACGATACAGTTAAGACAGTACTGTAAAATACATAATGGGCCATTTAGGTTAATACTTAATGCCGTTACGGAAGTTACAAGTGGCGAAGGGAGCCGTTATTGGCCCAGTTATGTCATGTTTGCTGGGTAAAGACGTTCTCTCCTAAACCTCTGTTAACGTTGAATTCAGACCTGCTTCATTGCAGAGAATCTACCCGAAAACGGTTGTAAATATAACTAGCAAACTAATCATGCATCATTATGTAGATTCTAAACCGCTCTATCATGCACCTAAAAATGTGTTTTATGCATGAATATATTCTAAATCAGTCATGACTGTTTAGGCTTTTAATGCACCAGTTAAGCAAATGCCAGTTTGTGTGTCTTATTATGATCGTTTTTGTTCATCAATTAACTCTTTCATGACTTAAAATATAAAATTAATTCATCGGTTATTTAGACCGAGTTCTATATATAAAGAGAACTGTGTTCAGATTTGTGTTAATGTGTGTGCATATGATCTGTAAATATGCTTAGACATATATGAACTTGCCAATCCGATTTCTTGATAGACGTTATTGGCAGATGTGGTCTGCAAGGCGCCTGATAGCCTTGAACTGCTTGTACTGTTCGTCTCTCAGACAACAGCACTGCTGTATATAACCCACCCCCGGGGAAAAACACAAAACGTAGGATAAACCGATATCTCATATGAAAGTAATTGCAAATACGACAAAATTATACATGTACGTAATATACGTGTACTGCAGTAGGATCAACTAAATCCAGTAATTTGCAATACTGTTGTTATGAAACGAGTGGATTGTGTATGTTTTCCGTCAGAAAGATACTATAGAACCTTTACAAGTCAGCAACTACCTTACGAGACGATGGTGCATCTGATCACCGAGTTTCGAGAACTAAACTGAGGGGCAAAAGAAACGTCCCCGATCATTTTTGTATCATAAAATGATACAAACACGTGCAATTCAATGTTGAAATGTTTGATATAATTTTTGAACATATTATGCAGACTGTCATTACAGAACAATTGAAACAATTTGCTGTAAGTAGAGTTTTTGTGACGTTTTTCACAGGAGGTTCAAATGTCCGGTTTTCGATCATGACAACACATGCACATCAGTACTGACAGAGTGTCTTTGAGTGTCCAACTCCTCAGTAGCGAGTGTGTCCACCTCTTGCAGCGATACATGCTGCCACACGACGTCGTGCAGAGTGCACAAGACGTCTGATCACGTGATGTGGGATGCGACGCCATTCTTCCTGTAGAGCTTGAGCCAAAGCGTTTCTTGTCTGTGGGGATGTTGACGTTGCTTCACCCTGACGGCCGAGATGATCCCATAGGTGCTCAATAGGTGATAAATCGGGGATCTTGCTGGCCAAGGAATGACGTTTACGTTGTTGTTGTTCAGGAAGTTCCGGGTAACAACAGCAGTGTGGGGAGTAGCGTTATCCTGCTGAAACAACACGCCTCGATTCTGCTGGAGGAAGGGTAACACGACAGGTCGTAAAACAACATCAATGTATCGACGGGCATTCAGGTTTCCCTCTATCACCAACAAGTCAGTCTTCCTCTCGCCACAAATTCCCCCCCACACCATCACACTACCGCTGCCAAACGTCTCAGCTTCCTGAACGCAACAACGTGCTGTGCGTTCGTTCCGACGTCTGTAGACTCGTACCCGACCATCAGCTTTGTTCAACTGGAAACGGCTCTCGTCACTGAAGAGTACCCGAAGCGCCAGTTCCGCGGCTGCCACTGCCGAACTCTACGTGCCCAAGCCAATCGACGACGTCGATGTTCACGCGCGTTAACGTCACGCCCGGAATGGTCTGTAGGCTCTGATACCGAATCAGCGGAGTCGTCTGGATATGGTCCTTCTACTGACTGGATGGGTAAGGCTGGTTGTTGCTGATGACGTCTGAGTCAGGAATCTGTTGCGCAAGTGAAGCACCCGTAAATGGCGGTCTTCCTGGGGGTGGTTACGGGTGGTCTCCTGTCCTAGGCCTGTCTGCAGTCCGACCTGTTGTTCTGAAGCGTGTCATCAGTCTGGTGATGGTTTTCTTGCTGCAACCCTAGCAATTTCATGCTTACAAAAAAGCTGAGGTGGCTTCACTAAAATAAAATGTGTTACTCAGCGAGAATGAGTGGTGGGGTCGTAAATTAAGGTAATCTACGTAATCTATGTGCACTTCAGTCAGTGACCTGGTAAACACACGGGCTTTGCACATATGATTATCAACAAGATTAAGTGCGGGATTGTAAATTAAGGATTTATTTCAGTGATGGAATTTAGAGCAAAAAGCTGTTAGTACAGATAGATTTGTAACGCTCGGTTAAGGAGATGCTATCCCCTGTGGGCCATCAACATTGTTAGGTGTACTTGCTCCATTCCCCAAACTTACGTCTTGTAGGTACCATTTTCGAAAAGCGAAAACTAAGAAATTTAGAATGCTCGCCGACGAACTTCATTTCATCTGTATGCCCTCATACTGAAGAAGTGAAATTTTAATAATCGGTACTGCATAGAGTATTCTATCCCCAAAATGTAACGCATAGGTGTATTTTCACGAATTTAATCTGCTTACTTTAAAGTGCGATAACACATGTAAAGCTGGATCAGTTAAGCAAATTTCACAGTAAAAACGATCAAACTTCTGTTAACATATATAGCTTATAAAAAGTTTAATCAGTGGAGGCGTCCGTTCACATTTGGGCGTTGTCTTCAATATCTGTTCTGGTCAACATGAGCCTCCAAAACAGCTTTGCAACGTCTCGGCATAGACTGAATAAATCCTTGAATTCGACCTTGTGGAATTCTGGGTCATTCCGCTTCCAATGCCTGCGGCAGTTTATCTAACACCCTAGGCGTCGGTTGACATTCACGTACGCGTCGGACATCCCACATTGCTCAATGGGGTTAAGGTCGAGCGATTTTGAAGGCCATGGAAGCACTGGGATGTTCTCATTCTGAAGATACTGAAACGTGTTATGTGCTGTGTGAGGCCTGGCATTATCTTGCTGGAACAACTTCCTCTGGTGGTCAATGATCAGAACCATGTGAGTCCTAAAGATTTCGTCTCTACGTAAAAACAGTTAAATAGCCCGAAAAGCGCACAAAGTTAGATTTCTGCTGTAGCCGAGGATATGGCACCCTACATCATGATGCTTCCACAAACATATCGGCCAACCTGGGCTACACAATACAAAAAAAACACGACTATAGATATGTACTCTTCCATCACGACTCTGAAGACGAAAGCGTGATTCGTCACTAAACCATACACGTAGCCAGAATTCCAGAATCGAATGTCGTTGCACCACGGGACGTCGATGCTGTCGTCGCAGCACAGGGACAAAATATGGCTTTCTGGCTCGAAATCCAGTTTCTCGTAAACGATTATGAATGGTTTGCGCCGATACACTCCTCAAACCAGGCACCGCACTTGCAGTTGCAGTTGCTGTGACAGTTTGATTCCGCAAATTAAGTACCCCGGTGTACCTACCCCTAGATTGTGTGTTAGCGCTTTGAGCATGTGCCTTGTACATGGTAGAGGCGCATTAAAATTCACAATTACATAGGCAATGTCCCTGCTCACGATTCCTCAGAATTGCACGTGCATTTTGCAAACCGCATTTCCTCGATGACATTTTCATGCATGTTGAGACTTCCGAACGTAAATTGGTTTTTGCGCTGTGCATTCGTTCCATGTACACAAATCAGCATTAAAATGGCGAAACTATAACAATCAGACACTAAGTGGGAAGCATATGTGAAATTTCATATACATATAAATATAATCAATGCGGTTTTGGGGAGTTCACTCGTAAGTACCCATAATAGCGTTGCATGGCGAGTTATGTAACAGTCTTGGACTAACGATACGGGCGGTCAGATGCTAATTTACACCCGTACGCCACACGATTGCCATTGAAGGATGACCTCGTTTTGTACGATTTCATGGTACCACTGCAACCTCGCTGAAGTCACACTGAAATTGCATTTACATAGTTTAACAAGACTGTTTCGAGATTGACGTTTCAGTTAACAAAGCAGACTCGTCACAGACATTAGATTCGATTTGCTTTCTGTAGTTATGCATAGAAGTTCTTTAGACATATAACCGAGCGATTTCTATCTGCCGTTCAATTGACACTGGGTTTACTATGAAGATGATGACTTTCAATTTGGTACACTATTAAAAGCTCCACGTGGGGAAATGGGGTCAATTAAAACTGTTTGGACAGATATCTGGAAGTATTAGTTTATTACTTACACAACTCATCAGATCGCATACAAATGAACACTCCTGGTCGTACAAAAGACAAAAGTGTTTCTGATGTCTGATTGTGGGCAACGAAACATCACATGTGTGGATAATACCAATTGATGTTGATGTCTGTAGATCACGCTTGTGTTTTCTAATTCCGTTAGGTAACATATACCTTCATTTGAAGATGCCAACGAACACAATTGTGCTGATTTGCACTTCTTTAGTATGAGGTCGTACAGATGACATGACGACGAGCACTCTAATTGTTTTATATTTATCTTTACCAAACTAGTACTGACAAGGCGTAAACTCGGTTGATGTACCGTGGACACCTAACAGTGTTGATGGCCCACATGGGATAGTAATTCCCAGTTTAAAATACCGTTAGTGTAAGACATCCCTATTTTTCGATCACGCACACCGTCGATGCAGGAACGATTTTTTAATGCCTATGCAAAGATATGTGAACAATGCCCATATTTGGATACATAACATTTTGCATGCTAATCCAGTGCACCCCCGGTTTCAGTATTCTCTGTTTGAAGAACGAAAGATGTTATTTGTACACACATATACACTCTTATCTCTAAGAAAGTCGTAAGTTAATGTTAATGTATGGAACTTACGAATATCTTTGCACAAAGAGAGCTTCGAAAATCTAGGCACGTGAAAGAAGTTAAGCTTTCCCGGTAAGTTTTACAAAGCTGTATGTTTCGCTTACACCAGTGGTGTGCACGCACAGCACGTTCTGTATGGATTTTTTGTTTTTTGTTATATTTTTTGTTTTTGGTGTTCTGAGTTTTTGTATGATCATGTCTTGACTACAGGAAAGCACAAGAAAGGACAGTGTTTTTCAACGTTTCAATAACTGAAGGAGGATCAGGCAACATGTGATGAGACAAAAACGAAAACTAGTAACGTTGTAAACCAATATCTAGTGCACCTTCCACGTGCTTGGATAACTGCCTGTACCCTGCATTGCATACCCCAGTCAGTAGCTGTATCGGTTGCGGAGTAAACTGTCCTCAATCTTTGTGCAAAGCTGCTCCCAACTCACGCATATTTTGAACAGGTGGTAGACATGCTTCTATCCTTCACCCGATAAAGTTCCAAACGTGCTCAAGAGGGTTCACGTCTGGACTCAGACCACAGGCCACAGAAGGTGAGTCATTGCATTATTCTGAATGAAAGCAGTCACTGCTCCAGAACGGCGTGGTCTCTATAAAAACAGGCCTTGTTGCAAGAGGATGGCTATCAAAATGGCGGACAACTGGATCCAGTACTTACTGGATATACTGATCACCGGTCAAATTCCCATGTATTGTCACCAAGTCAAGTTTACTGTCATTAGGGACACATTGCCATTCCATGACAGAACCGCCCCCAAAGGCAACAGTTGGTTGAATGTTTTGTGCTACAAATGCTGTATTTTATTGCCTCCACACTCTAAAGCGTCAATTAGTTACATTAAGAAGAAATCGACTTTTATCAGACCAATGTATATTTTTTCTCAGAGAAGGACGTTTGAAGAACCTTCTTGAGTTGTACCCAGCTCTCCTTAAGCGACTCCAAACCTAACTCTTAGAGACCCGGCAAAATGTAACCAGGGATGCTTCAGAATAGTGTTCGTAGCAAAGGATTGTCATCTATAGAGCCTCAGTAGTGTCCTGTCGTCATGATCTCCTGGGTCGCCCAGAACGTGGGTGATCCATCACCTACTTTGTTTTCGTGTATTTTCTGACCAAACGACTGACAACTGTGCAGTGGACATTCATTTCCCGACCAAATGCTTTAAAGGACATACCGGAGCTATGCCCACCGACAATTTGACATTTCTGGCCGACTGATAGTGGAGAGAGGGTCCGAACAAACCCAAGCATTCGCACGAACGCACCACTTGAACAACGGTGGATAGCCATGCGTGAACCACGTGCAGAATGCGCAATAGCTTGCGACAGTGCACATTGTCACTGAACAAGGCAGAATTTCGTTGTTGTTGTTTTTTCGATAGAGCAGCCACGCTGTCGGCGACTGTCTCTTACAGTGCCAAATCAGGGCATAATTGTAAGAAGTCAAATGAGGACTTCAATTGGACCATATGGTGATTTCGGTGGTCACATAAGGACCGTGTCGTGTTATGTCAAATTAGGACATATTGCTGTATATAGTGCCGTTGAAATATTTCGTTGGTTCATGATTCTGTAAGTAAAACTATAATGAACTTTGAAAATTGTTGAGTTAAGTCTTCCACTGCTGCATAGCAAATGGTAGCAGAGCGTGGTTGTTGCTACACGATTCTTTGCTTTATCACACATTGGTGTGATTTCATTAGACATTGTGTTTTCATTGCTTATGTTGCAACATGGTTGTATGATAAAGCACAAGTGTGTATTGTGTTTATCTAAAAACCGTTGCTTTGATTAGGTGTACGCTGCATTGTACCGCGTACATATAGATTTGGTTTGTATGCTGAATTTTGATGAACTTTGTTGATCACGTGTTGGATTGCAAACATGTCCCGTACAGGTGTGACTTCTCCCTTGAAGGGGAAAATAGACGAAACAGAGCTTACACTTGAGACAGTTGCAGACATATCTCTACCTGAGTCTGATGGTACTTCAAACATTGACAAAAAGGATTATGAAACTAAAGTAAACAATCTTAAGCGGCAGAAAATGATAGTTAAGTCAGCTTTCACTAAGTCGAAAAATGCTTTGGAGAAGTTGATTGAACAAGAAGAGATTCCATCAAGAATGGAAGTTCGGGAAGCTATAGACAAATTAAGCACTTGCCAGCTAAGGCTTTGGAAGTTCTCGTGAACCTGTCAGAAATGTTTGAAACTATTGGTGATAAACAATAAATGTCTAAGGTCACTGAAGAAAGTGAACTGTTAGAAGAAACAGGTACTCAGAGCCTGACTTTTCTTCAAAATATTGCTTATCACAAATGTTTAATTCTGAAAGGAAATTAGACGTGAAAACTGTTCCTGTAAACAATACTACTTGTCAAAAGTTAGTCACAGGTGAATCAGGTGTTCACAAAGAACAAACCACTGAACCAGTTCACATGGTGAGGGACAATTCAGATAGTTACGATCATAAGGCACCTTCACTTTCACATGGTTATGGCATTGGTAAAGACATGTGGAAGCAGTTGAAACGAGTGTCTATACCTGTATTTACTGGAGATGACAAGTCATATTTATAGCATGTATAGACGAAGCACCTGCCACACCAGAATATAAATTGCTTCAGTTGCGCCAATATGTTAGTGGTGGTGCAATGAAGGTCATTCAAGACTTAGGTCATAGCGCTACAGCATATGGGGTAACACTTGAGAGATTGGAACGTAAATTTGGTGGCAAGAGACGTTATATTGCTCTCCAAATGGAAGAAATATCATCTTTGAGGCCAGTGCGACCTGGCAATGCAAAAGACTTTGAACAGTTTGCTGATATGTTGGATATAGTTGTTGTAAACAATAGGGATTCTGTCAGGTTTGAGGAGTTAGGTAATTGGTCTATATATGTTCAACTCCTGAAGGAAATGACTGCATCCATGATTAGTCAGTACCAAAGATGGATTTTGAATCTCAACGACAGGAATCGGTTAAAGCGTTACGTGAATGGGTCGTAATGGAAGCAGAATTCCAGATCATTGCTTCGGAAACAACCCATGGGGTATCTGCTAAAGGAAAGACAACAATCCATAAAAGTCCTAACAAATTAGGGTATTTCTTTGGTAACAAGCAGACTAAAAGAGACCACAGATGTCAGTTGTGTCATAT